ACACCATGCGGGTTCTTCGTTTCGCCTGTCTCTCAGCGGAGTTTTGCATATATCTCAGTATCATTGAAGTTATATTTTGCAATATACCCTGCTATTAAAAAGAGTAGGTAGTAAATAACAAGTTACAGTTGTGATTATTTGCATATTTTCACATTTATTTACTTCTTCTTATGAAATAATTCTGCTTTTACATAGTTATGGCAAACATAATGCTCATTTGTTAAGGTGCCTACTCTGCTGTCGCATCCATATTTGCTCCGAACCGCGACCCGTCTTACCCCTAACCCTAAGCCCCATGTCTCTATTCGACCATATGTCGTAAGATGATGCTTATTTCACATCATGTCTAATCTATTTTCGTGATATACTCTTCGTATTTTATTATTCTCATAAGTAAGGTGGCGAAAAAACTCTAAAAAGAACATCTTCCAGTAGATGCGATGGATACATATCAACATCGTCGGCTCGGGTGTTAAAGAAAAAGCGGGAACAAAGAACACGGAAACCAGGTAGTTCGATTTACTGTTATTTGCGGTTGGTTTAGTTTCCTTTTTGCGCTGAAGCTGTTGCGTAGACTAATCACTTGTTGTAACTCTTTTTATCTTCGATTTATGCAGAACGTTTGAAAGGCGTTCGGTCCCTCTACATAGTGGCGGCACAAAATTCGAAGGCATAGAATGCACTACACAGGCTAAATCTCCTCTCCGCTTAATGCATCAGCATTCAATGTGCTGGTTGTACTCAGCGAAATTCTCCTCCAATTCACCTGCGAACGCATCAGCTCTGCTGACTCCAAGATTGCAGGAAGAATCGACCCGAGCAGCATTCTACGACATTCACAATGTAGATGGAATCCTCAAGCAAATGCCGACACAGCATGCAAAGTGTTCGAAGACTTTTGTAAACGGTAAATACACGGTAAACGATACAAGTACAAGAGCTATTGGGTTTAGCAGTGTAGATAAGATGATTGGTTATCTTAAATAAATAAGTTTATTTGTTTTCTTATCATTTCAAAGGATGTTGTTTAGCCTAGTAAATAATCCCCGTTTTAGTGAACACTAAGGAAAGCTATTCTGCCGAGGGAGAAGAAATGAAAATCGGTAGTGAAGTCGGTTAGGCGACGAATCACTCGCTACCTGCACACAAGTCACACTATGGAAAAAGATCGCTCATTATAAACATAACAACTCTCCCCCTGGATGCAAGGAGAATCGACCCGAACCTATCTAGTTATCTGTGACTATTCTGATCCTTCAATCAACCGCTGTCACAAATTACACTTCATATCTACGCACTTGTTCCGAGGTATATTTTACACCTTATCATCTCGGCCAAGAATACTAATCATCTGATTGCTATATTTACATCTTTCCATCTTGATTGCTGCAATTTGTCCACCTACTTAATGGTCCTCAGCAAAGTGTAGCCATCTCATGGGCTGCTCCGCCCATAAATAGATCTGGTATTGATCTAAGGATGTGCAACAACATCATATCCCACTTCCGGGCGACCATACTCCTTGGCCAACATTGTGCAGCACCATTATTCCTCTACCATATCGCCATAATACTACCGTATAAGGTATTTTACTACTGCTAGTGTTTATTGGCAACTCCACCTTGTTATTATTGTGTTAATCTTGTTGTATAAACGGTTTTCGTACCCAGGTTTGAGATCTGACATTACGATAACAATCGAGAAAACCGGCGAGGAAGGAAATATGGAACAAAACAGCAGTTTCACTATAGCAAATTTTATAATTTCGATGAAAAGTGCTTGAATATGCAAGTTTTTGCTTACAGGATAAAACTGTCTTATTTTACTTCGATAAGTTTACTGATTTTTCTAATTTACTGGAGCTCATTTACTGGATGGTAAACATTTCATCCGCTTTATTGTTTAAAGTGTCACATCTTGAAAATGAAAAAAAATGAGGAAGCGGGATTTCGTCTCGGAGGACAGGATGGTGTTTTCTCGTACACTGCTTCTAATCGTTTGAAGGTCAGCAAGCACCTCTAAATTTGACAAGACACAGTCAGAAAATCGCGAATGCCCTTGATACAACGGAAAAGATTCCCATTTATAAATTTATAACGCTCTAAATTGTTTACCTCGTGTGGTGATTGAGTAATAATTGTCAGTCATTGAAAAACCAGCTTTCTCACCAGATGACAGATCTGCCAGTATGGAAAAAAAAAGGATGAGATGACCTGCATATCAGTGACTGACTTTCTATCTGAATGATAGAAAACGACGTCAAGTGAGCAGCTCTATCATTTAAATCAGTTCAGCGAAATCCAGTGGTGGAAGTACGAAATGTTGCTTTGGACACATTGCTATGCTACATGACAGTTAGTAAAATATCCACTTGTTCAGAACATGGAGATTATAAATTATCCGAAACTTTTATCAGTAAAAAAAGCTTTCTGCATCGACCAATTTCTGATGATGCGCCGTGCATTCGCCTTCATTAAGCATTGTTAGAAGTGAATGAATGCTTACCTGGCCTTTACAATGGCTGGCGGCGGCCTACCGATGTATCGAGCCAGTTCTGCTATTATCTCAGACAAGTCTGATATCAGTCTACCGACCCTGGAGGGATGGAAGGCTTGACGGGCCATGGGCGCAATGATCGATTCCACTTGTGTGCTGCAGGGCGCCTCCGCCCACTGCGCGACAGGTGCCCTTTTTCTCAATAGGTGAGTAAACAATATTCGGTATTCAGTACTATATTTATTTAAATATAACCCAACGGTTTGCCCTCTCATCATGGCTGGAAGGTGTTTTTTGGCGTCGGATTGCAATGTACAGCGGGAGGATTAATGCCCCTAGGAGGGTTTGCCAAGCTGAGAAAGAGTCCTGGTTTTTGATCAAAAAGCCTAGCTAAGAGTAAACCAATACCAGAATTCACCACCGTGCTGGTATCAAGGTCGCGTGGTGGTAAATCTTTCTGTGATCCACAAGATCTGCAACTGCTTGTGGTGGTGAAAACCTGAGGCAGATTTTGGCCAAGCTGGCCTCAGTATTCCAGGGAACCACAATGGCTTAACCAGCAAATCCCCGAAAAATAAAGATTATGCTGGGGACTACACAACCAGTGAGGACGGGCAGTTCAAGTATCAAGTATGGAATGCACGACGCATCCGTGAGAGATTGATCAGCGCCAGGAGCTTTATCCTTTATTTTTAACACTTGCTCACCATCATTATGGCATTTTACCTTCTATGAAAATTAAGTATAAAAATATAGGCCTATATATATTCGTTTTGAAAGATATAAGTGGTCGAAGTCTTCACTTCCATATAAGATTATCAGTTGTGGTAAATTCTTTGCACTTTCTTCATTCTACTTGTTATACATATAATCTGAGCGCGGCCATGTTTGAACATTTCTTGTTCTTCACCACAGAAAGTCACCAACACTTTTGGATCGAAATGAGCATTTCGCCGAGAGCTCCGCTACCAAATCCCAAACATTAGAAGGATCGGAGGCCACATTAGCCTAAGGTGGGCTTTGCGAGTGTTAGTGAACAGCATTATTCGCAATGTATTTTCCACGTACATTATAGCAGAAATCACAGACGAGAAATCGAATGATGGGATAACTAATTTCTATATTTTCAAAAAATTGATCATGAGACGTGTCAAGTTCTGTTAATGAGAATTGAGGAGCACATCCATCCACGACGGCATTAATATTAATGGAGTGCTGAACTTAGAAAATAGTAAAGAGAACATCGTTATTGCTCTTAGTGTTATAAAGGCAGCTAGTAAAAGTAATACAAATGTAATACAGCTCAAAATCGTGCCGTCATGCTCATTTACCGTTCTCTGAGGTGCTCATTAATAAACACGACCGTCAAAAAACATGAACGTTCTCGTAAAGCGATCAGTAGAAAAAGAAAGACAACGGATCGCAGCAATTTTTTCTAAATTAGAAAAACAACCATTTTCCGTTAATAAGCAGCAGAAAACTTAGGAAATCCTTGATATCTTTAATATTCAAGACCGACAACCATACAAGGAATCCAAGAATTTATAGTCACAACGTCCTACGTGTTCTTCTCTACGGAATGAGAAGAAGAAAGTGGATAACTAAGCAGTGAAATAGCTGAGAGATTCTTCCTTGCCCATATTTTTCCATTTTTTTGAATTCGGTGAGATATACCAAAGGTGACCAAAAGCGATTTTGAGAAGACATAGAAATAGATAAATATGGTGTTCTAAGACTTTGGCCTTTACTCAATCGCAGTCTTGCTCATCCCATTAAAACAGACGTTCTCCCACTTTTTTTACTTGTTGCGGAAAATAATCTAATTTAGCCTGTGATGGCATAGTTCGAATACTTAACAAAGTCTCTGGAATAACAGAATAACACATAATGTAATAGTTTCAAATTTTTTTGGTATATAAAAGATAAAAGGAAAAACACTCGACACTGATCAACCTCGTGCTATGCATTCGATTACATTCATAGCATATCAGAGCAGTCTGCCCTACTTGTAAGCGGTCATGTAGGAATCTATTTTATTGACTTTGATTGATCAAGAGATGATGGTCGTGCAAGTCGTTCATTGTATTCGACGCAGAGCATCACGGACAACGATCGTGAAGAAAAGAAACTAATGGAAAATGTACATACTTCGGCTCGCACTACTCGAGAGGATCGGTCGTTGAATTATAACTAGTACTATTAATAGAAACTCCTTTATGTATTAATTTATATTGATATCTTCCAAACCTGAACAATCTTGTTAGCATGGAAATGGCTCATATTGTTCATCCAGGAATTAAACGGCGGTATAGGAAAGCCCATTGTTGTTGCGGAAATTTTTGAGGGATCCCAATCATGTTGTAGTGCAAAGCGGACGAATAACAATGACACCGACAGTGGTTATAGTGAAAAATTTGTCGAATGCATAAGGAACTAGTTCTCTCGAGTTTTTGATTACTTTTGCTCCAAATCTGTTGCTGTGCACTTTATTTGACCAAGAACACCGCACATAGAAAATCCTCAACAGATCAAGCAACAATAAAGTAGTCGTAGCAGCAGCATTGGTGCCGCTGTTCTTGGGCCACTGGTCAACCGGATAGTATATTCCAGTGACTGGTTCCATGGCTAACCGAAAGATATGGCATCATGACTGGGCTTAAGGCCAACCGAATAAACTGATCGCACGAAAATTAGTCTTTTCCTGAAAGCCGCCCACGTTCTGGATCATGGTGAACTGAAACATTCCAATCACTTATACGACCAAAGTTCTGCAATAAAATTAATCTTAGAGTGGATAAGTAAATCACTCTTTCAATATAAGCCACGGTATGTCTAGATGTTAAGCTTGTTTTTGCTAGAATATTTCGCCACCTTGTATCAGTATTCTGTTCAGGAGGTTGCCAGGATTGACTCGACGTATTTGTAGGCTGTCTATTGCTCATATAAGCATTCAGTCATTTCTAACGGTGTTATGCCTTCTGTAATTATAGTTATTAAATAATAGTAGGCAGAAAATGAAAGGTTGACATTGCGATTTCTACTGCAGCCCCAGCTAAACCGGGTTCAGTGCCGATTTGGGTTTCCAAGATCAACCAATTTGACGGGTGATTGCTGATGGGACTGATAGATAGAACTAGTTGAAAAACACTTAATAACTCAAAAAACCGACTTTCTATAAACCTCGACATAGATAGTTGATATATTTATTTATGTGATCTTATAAACTGATCTTCTTAAGCTGATGCGAACCTCGCGTGCGCGAGCCCCGGGAAGAGAAATTGTGGTTCGACCTGGCTCAGAGTCCAACATTTGCGAATACTTCAGCATCGTTGTGGTTGCAAGTCTTCGCTTTTTAGGTATTGTTGGAAACCACCTGCACTGAATCTCGCATAGGTGATCAAAAAATCGATTAAGGCAAGAGGGAGCTTGTGCAAATCACAGAACATTCCCTTTTTGCGATTCGTTTTCGGATCTTTGGAATTGGAATTTGTCCTGAACGCTTCAAGAGCTTTACATTCTGATACTTTCGATATCCTCTGAGCGCCTAGTGCGGAGTTTTGGTTCAATATTAAGCTTCTCAATTTGTTGCTTTTCTATATGGGTGCATAGCAGTCTACGCGTTTGGCCAATGTCGCATGCTTCACAGCAAATCAGACACATCCGCTGTCTATAGACGGTCCCGCAGAGGGTTATGAGCTAGCTAGCGACTTAAAATGTTCGATTTCATTTAAATCAATGTTGATTAATTCACATGAACGATCCTTCTGAAGCGCAGTTTTATTACATGATAAAGGACACCGCGTTAAGTGTTAATTAATTCTTGGGTGATACGCTATGCCTTCGATTTAAACAAGCATAGTTAGAATTGATCGAATGGATATCTGGACTATACAGTGAATTGCGGAAGTCTACCAATGAATCAATTCAGTGATGCTGTCTTCCTGTACAAGTTTGAGTGCAATTTTCCGACGCCGGAGGAATGAAAGGATTGGACAAATCATTGTGTACACGAGCCAAAATGCCTTATAGGTGTGCTATTTCGTTTGAAATGAAGGCTAGATAAACAGGACTTCATTCTTGCTGAGCTTACCATTTAGTGTTTTGGCAACATAACACTTAGAACGAATGCGTTTAAAAACTTGGGCTTCTGCATCAATGGGTGAGTAACAACTAGAGAACAGAATTGTGCGTGATCAGGTCTCTCAGAATGTTAACGAGTGCAACAAAAAGACAACTTTTCAGATAGTTAATCTTCTTGAAGGGTATTCTAGATAGGGGATATGTTATCATAATTTTCGGTTAAATATAACCCAACGGTTTGCCCTCTCATCATGGCTGGAAGGTGTTTTTTGGGCGGCTTTCAGGAAAAGACTAATTTTCGTGCGATCAGTTTATTCGGTTGGCCTTAAGCCCAGTCATGATGCCATATC